CCAGTTCTACATCTTGTTATCTCATTAATTTGTGATCCTATTGGCCCTGGGTCTTTTACCTAATGATCTGATTTGTTGGGAATGCTGCAGCAGTTTTCCTACTTAGGCCATCAGTTAAAATTACAGTCAGGTCTCAATGGCATCACCAGAACCCAACATACTTGGGTAACAGATGAACCTGGCACATTTTGTGCGGTGGAATCATTGTTGCCTACTCAGTAGGGCACAACAGTGAATTCAGGCTGCTTTGGGCTGGTAAATAATGTGGGCAATTTTAACTGTCCATCCATCCAGCTTCTGTTTGGCTGGTAGGGTAAAATTGCTGGAATTTGTTAAATACAAAATTTTAAAAATGCTTGTTTACTAGCAAGTATTTCATTTAACAAATCCAAATAGCTATATTTAAGCTTTACTAACTGAATAAGATACACCACAGAAATTAGAATGCTGGGTTTATTTACTAATTCAGGTTCTTGCCCATTTTGACCAAACTTTTAAGTTTAAAAAAGTAATGGTTTTACATGTAAAACCTAGCTTGGCAAGTAATATCCCCTTTGCCCTTTACTCAAATCACTCAAATCTGGGAATTATAGAGGGAAATGCAGATTAATTTGTACATTTTTTTTGATCTAGCAACACAAAAGTGAACGAAACACCTGACTGTTTGAGTGAAGAGATCTACCACACCATAAGTCCTGACTGTAAGAGCAGGTTTGACTTTAACCTAGTACAGACTAATTTGTTTTAATGTTTGAAAGACCTAATTAATTTTGTTGGAAGCGAAATCTTCTGCAAAATCTTTTGTTTATTCTGAAAAAACTGAAACCAAGTGACCGAGTGAAGAGACAGCAGTGCCGAGAGGTTTGACTCCCATCATAAAACCGTAATGGATTAATTAATCACCAGTCCTGGCAAATGGGAGGCAATACTGATTTATTGATAACTGATAACTTCAGTTGAAACTGAGGTTAACTTAAATTCTGATGCTAACCACATGGAACTCCATTTCGTTGAAAATATGTGACACAGATCAACATGCAACAGTGATTTAAAGTCAGGGGTTGCCATTTTGGGGGTCAATGATGCAGCTAAAACCTTCTCATCCCACAACTGAACACATATTCAGCAGCAGAAGGAAGCCCCACCCAACTGTTAACGGGATCATTAACTACTTGTAGGTTAGTTGCTAATTGATTACTACTGGGTCTTCTTGTGATTGTGGCTTCCGGGGTCGTGAAAGGTTGGTAAACTAAACAAAAGGTTCTGCAGGAGTTTGTCCTTACTTCACTGATTCTGTGCAAATACTCCCTCCAACAAACTATAGCTGATCAGTAGAAATGAGGATTGGCATCACAGGCTCCTGCAGATGGTCAAGGATGTGATGGTGGTAAAGAGAGGTTCTCAGTCAGAAACTAGACTGCCAAGGGTGTTCGAGAAATCATTCTCCTACCTGAACCTCAGCAAACAACAATGTGTCAGATATCCTTACATCATGAAGGATGTTGTCTCTGAAGCACACACAGAAAATGCTGAGAAGCTCAGCAGATCTGGCAGCATCCACAGAGCAAGAGACAGCGTGAACGCTTTGAGTCCACTACAACTCTTCTTCAGAACTGAGTGGGATGAGGAAAATAATGGGTCACGAGGAGGAGGATGAGAAATAAGTTTCCACTATCTCCTCTGGTTTTTGAAGTTCTGTTGTTGGCTTTGGTTTCAGTCATGGCTGCTCCAATAATTGTGAGCACCACCTCCTCCTATGGGGTGAAAACATGCATCCTTATGAACTGGGTGTTGCCACTTCCTACCACCATGTGCCACCTTGTTCAGCAACAAGAGTAAGTGTCAGTGAATGTGGTATCATGTGTTTCAATAATGTCGATCTCACGACTGAAAAGGCAACAGAATGTGCAAACTGTGGTGTGGATAAGAGGCTTACAGCATTACTGAGTACGACAGGTTGATGTGGAATATGAAGTTTACAAATTAGTCATGATCAGTAGAGATTGTTGGTAAGTGAATGATGGGACTGTGGTGTACTGAGAAATCAGTGAGGATGGGAGTGTGGTTATCTGAGATATGAACCACTTGAAGATGCTTTCACTGACCACTGGGCTAAGAGATCACATACAGCATTGCAGTCAAATTGTTGGGGCTGTTACTTGGTCCTTCACGCTCCTTCCTGGTCCTCAGTGGATAGGCGACATCTCTTCCTCTCCATCTTGTGCTCATAGAATCCCTATAGTGAGGAAGCAGGCCACTCAGCCCAACGAGTCTACACCAACCCTCCAAAAAGCATCCCACCCAGACCCACCCACTTACCCTATCCCTTTAACCCTGCATTTCCCATGGCTAACTCACCTATCTTGCACATCTCTGGACACAATGGGCGCTTTAGCATGGCCAATCCACCTAACCCGAACATTTTTGGACTGTGGGAGAAAGCCAGAGCACCTGGAGGAAAACCAAGCAGAGACGGGGACAATGTGTAAACTCCACACAGACAGATGCTGGAGGCTGGAATCAAACCCAGGTAACTGGCACTGTGAGGCAGTAGGGCTAACCACTGAGTAACTGTGCCACCCTGTGGTCTGAAATGGAAACAAAATACAATTAAAACAAAGTCAAATGTACATAACAGAAATATTCTAAACTGATTTCAGATTTGTACTTGTTTACTAAATGGTCATAATAAGTCATCTCTTATGATTTTGCAGCCCCTGGCAAAGGATACAGCTACTTGATAGCATACACAGTGCCTGCTGGACACTGCAATCATTTCATTGAGGAGGTAACATGACGTTTGTATACTGACTGCATCAGGAGTTATGGAATTTCTTGGCCTACATGCAGTAAGTTTCAAACAGCAAAAACCAATTGTAATTACTTGCAAAATACAAGTCCTCTGAACATTTAAGTAACACCATATTATCCAGCAACAAATGACATACCAGATGCAGTTCATCACCTTCTACCCACTGTGTCCATCCTCGACCCTGTTTCTCTCCGACTTGTACACACACAAGCTTATCCCCATCCCAATTCACTGTGGTCTAAAATGGAAACATTGAACAATTAAAAACAATGTAAAATATACATAACAGAAACTATTAGAGGCACAGAAATGTACAACATGGAAACCAACCATTCGGTCCAATATGTTCATACCAACCAGATATCCTAAATTAATCTTATCCCATTTCTAAATCAGTTTCAGATTTGTACTTCTTTACTAATTGGCCATAATAATTCATGTTCCCTATTAATCTAAAGGCTTTTATCAGGAGCATTTCTCATAGATTCCACAGTTATGCTTAAACAGTCATAGTCCTAATTGTAAATCTATGAAAAGTCACTGTCTCTAATCAGCTGAAATCTTCAATGTTGGATGTACTTTAATTCAGATAATAAATCAGCTAACACTTTCCTTTAAGTTTTAAGTCTACAGGTAGTTCAACTCAATTAAATAACTGAAGCATGACTGGCCAATTCTATGGATATTCTACATCATGCAAAATTAACTTGGAACTTTCTGTATTATATAAAGTCTGCATGCCTACATTTCAATTAGTGTTTTGTACAGGGTTTGTCAGAAGTTACTTCACCAGAAATTTTCAGTATTTTCTTTATTTTCCCTGAAATTTCCACATCTTAATTCTAATTGGTCATTACAGCTAAGGGATCAGAAATGGCATGTGAAGTCTTAAGAGTTTGCATTAATACTAAATTGTTTAAATTTAACTAACATTTCAAAACATACATTATATGCATGCATTAGGAGATGAGACCTCCTGAATTGTGATTGGCAATGTGATGTTACCCTTCAGGTTTCTAACTTTTACAAAGTATGTCCTCTATGTACTGTATACAACAAAGTTGTAAATCCAGTAGAGTATAAGTTATATATTGCTACTGACTCAGATAAACAGGTGTTTGATTTAACAAATTGATTGCAGAGAGGAACCTTATTTCATCCTCCAAAATACCTTGACATATTGGGGAGCAATATTTGCCCAAAATATAAATTTTAAAACAAAATCTATTTTCAGGTACATAGCATGTTTCATCATTAGCAACTTCAAAACTGATGGCTCCAATTACAGCTAATAAGTCATAGGGCTGTCGAATGAGTAACTGAGGGATAACTATTGGCCGGAGTACTGGAAATACCTTGCAGTTCTTTGAAAATGCCAAAGAATTGTTTGTGTCTCTCAGAAAGCAGGTGCGACCTCAGTGTAACGCCTCAAACAGAAACTATCAGCACTCCTTCAGCACTGGAATGCCAGGAAATGTTATGTGCTCAAGTCCTGGAGCAGGAGTCACTGCAACCTTCAGCTCACATACATTTTCCCTCCATGTTACTGAAAGTAAGCTGAAAATGGCACTGCATGGGGAACAGAGCATCCAGGATCTGAATGAACAGGGTACCTGTCTCACAAAGTATCTCCTGAATTGATGAGATTTAACAATTGGAAAATCACCAGAAGAAATGAGGACAATGAATTAAAGGGATGAATTTCATTTCAAATTAGACACAAAGTTAATTAAAGAGAAGGAATGAAAGATTGGGTTAAGAGAGAAAAAAATAGAAAGGAAATAAGCAATACCTCTTAAAATTTTGCTTCGTTAAAATCTCTGAAAACAATTCACAACCTGAAGAAATGGGAATCTGTATTTTTTGTTGTTGATTTTCAGAACCAAAAACTAATACTTACGACATTGTTAATTAGGTATATAAGTTTGCACATCATCTATTTGTCCTAAATATCTCTGGCAATATCTATCCAGAAATTACAGCAATTACATGCCATTTAATACAAGTCACTGTTGACGTAGACAATGAAATCATTTTTGCGAAGTTAATATTGGAGTAGTAGAACTGGAACAGCAACTTTGGGTACTACCCTTGAAGCTACTGAACAATGTACACAGAAAATACAACAGCACTATTTGGCTCACCATTGTTTTGACAGTACCAAATGACACAAATCTGTCTGGAATACATGCAGAATGTTTATATACATTGCAAATTTGACTCAATACGTGGAAGCATTAATGTGCTGGGTACAATATAAAAAAAACACTGCCCTCACAGTGATTGGTGTATGCTTAGTTTTGGCAATATTTCCAAAGTTTAGACTAATAACAAAATCCATCCTAATCAGAAGTTTAACAGGATATTTTCAGTTGGTGCACAATGCTTACCATACATTGGCGGTCATCTATTCCAGTTAAATCCTCGGGAAACTCCTTGCCAATATCAAATTCCATGAGATAATTCCGGAAGCTGCTGATGGTTTTAATGATCATGTGATCTCCAGTCTGAGCAATATCTTTGTCTGGTTTCAGCAAAACTGCAATTTTCCGTAAAGCAATGTTTACATCTATGCAAAAATGGAAGGAAATAATGTGTTGAACTAAAACAAGATGCAACATTGAGTTTAACACCGTGACATTAGTCATGGTATTAAGTGAAAATTGTATAGTGTAGAAAATTTCAAAAAATTATCTTCTTGCGTAAATCCACCCTAGTCTACATACAGTTAATACAGTATTGAGTTGCATCCATTAATAATATAAAGGACATAGGAATATACTACTGAGGGACAGGAGTAGGTCTTTGCCCTTCAAATTTACCTCACTATTTAACAAGTGACAGCCATTGACATTAAGGAGCCCTAGCAAAACTGCAATCAATAGGACTGAGGAAAAACTCTCCATGGGTTGGAGTCATACCTGGCACATAAGAAGATGGTTGTGGTCGTTGCAGGTCAGTCAGCTCAGCTCCAGGGCATCTCTGCAGGAGTTCCTTAGAGTAGTGTCCGAGGCCCAACTATCTTCTGCTGTGATAACAAGGTGTAGAGCTGGATGAACACAGCAGGCCAAGCAGCATCAGAGGAGCAGGAATGCTGACTTTTCGGGCCTAGACCCTTCTTCAGAAGAATTTTCAGATCCTTCAGATTTTCTGAAGAAGGGTCTAGGCCCGAAACGTCAGCCTTCCTGCTCCTCTGATGCTGCTTGGCCTG